GGGGGGGGGGGGGCGAAAGGAGGTTCCAAATAGACTTCTCCACAGTAAAATAACCGCTACCTAAGCCCATGCCCTCCCCCTTGCACGGAACACCAAACAATCCAGTGGGGCAAACCCGTTAAGTCGAAGAGGGCATTTTTTAGGTACATCATCATCACCAACGACTTGAACGGTACCTGTTAACTCGACGAGGACATTTGTCCGGTGAGACGTCAACATGATAATGCTGGATATGTCCACCAGGAATGCGTACCGCAAAGTGATTTGCACGCAGCACAATCGAACGACCTTCTACACCATGATTCGGTCTTCGCGGACTTTGAAACGAGAAAGGAGCTGCAAAAAGCACGGAAATGAAGATTAACAGAACGGTATCCGGAGCATAAAATCCGCATAGTTAGATAACTGAAATTAAATTTGAGGGGTCACACGTGCGCGCCAGGAACATTCCCATAAAATTTCAGCTTCCTAGCTTTTGTGGTTTCCGAGTTAAAAGTTGCGGACAATATGCATCGGACACACACACACACACACACACACACACACACACAGACAATTCCGTGACCCTTTATGGATTGCTTGGGGGGTGTTACAACGAAAAACTGCGGCTGTACCGAGATGCTAAGCAAAACCCGTTCCCCAACGAGCTGTGCGTCCAAAATCCACAACGATTTTCTCTGTAGATTTAAGTATCCCTTCTCTTCCGAGGTTATCTGAGCAATCGTTTACTTTTCTAAAAGTACCACCTTATTTCTTGATTAAAAACAGAAGAAAAACTCAATTATTTTCCAGAAACTGGCCGTACTTTCAATGAAAGGCCGGGGAATCCACTACCAAAATTTTTGTGCCGGAGTCTGCTTGGGTACCGAGTTGAAACACCCGGACAGACGCACACACAGACGAACACAAACACATGCATACACACACACATGCACACACACACATAGTAACACAGCAAATGCTTTAACTGAACTTACCAGGTGCAGCAGTGGGGGCACGTGATTGTTGAACACTAGCTGGAACTTGTGCACTGTCACCACCCGCAATTGGCCCACCGGGTGCCAGAGGGCCCGGTGGACGATTTTCAAAGCCAGATCCGCCACTGC